TTTAGCCACGTCCAATAACAATGACGAGTTTACTCATACCCATGTACAAAGACGAGTTTACTCATACCCATGTACAAAGACGAGTTTACTCATATCTTTGTGCCATGACGACTTTACCCATGCCCATTTTGTACATCACAAGTGTCAAACTCAAGGCCCGCGTGCCACATCCGGACCGCTGAACAATTATATCAGACCCACGAGGTCTTGACCGGCGTACAATTATGTCCAAGTCAACTCTATAGTGTTTCCAATGCACACTTTGCTGAAAGCTTTGAAGCACAGAAATTTAAGTTTCGTAACCCATGCGTCATAGACATGGAAACTGCACCTGTAAATTTGCAGATGGAGCTAATACAGCTGCAGTGTAATGGAACACTTAAGGCAAAGTAAGACACGGTTGGGCCTGCACATGACACATCGTTTCATTCCTGAAGAGATGCGCCAGCTTCCTCTACATACGACTCGAAACTTGATCATGTTGGGTAGCACATTTATGTGTGAGCAGCTGTTTTCTGTTATGAAGATTAACACCATCACACTTAGCAGTCCATCATGAGAATCTCAATGACACAGAACGTTACTCCCAACATAAACGAACTTACTAGTTTTTTTAGCCAAGAAAATGTTTCAAACATCCAGCTCTGGCAAATTGGTATAAGAACGAAAATGGTTATGCCAATGATTTTTAATTATTAATACTTTTTGCTGTTTTTTTTACATTTATATAAATGTTGTTGTTGTTTTTTTTATTAAATTATTTTTCCGCTAATGGAATGTTTATCCAATTCGGCCCGAAACCTTACACGTGATTTGGGTTTTGGCCCGCGGAGCGATTGAGTTTGACACTCCTGTTGTACAGTGACGACTTTACCCAAGTCCATGTTGTACAATGACGACTTTACCCATGACCATGTTGTACAATGACGAATTTACCCATGTCCATGCTGTACAATGACGACGTTACCCATGTCCATGTTGTACAATGACTTTACCCATGTCCATGCTGTACACTGAAGACTTTACCCATGTCCGTGTTGTACATTGACGACTTTACCCATGTCCATGTTGTACACTGACGACTTTACCCATGTCCATACTGTACACTGAAGACTTTACCCATGTCCGTGTTGTACATTGACGACTTTACCCATGTCCATGTTGTACACTGACGACTTTACCCATGCCCATGCTGTACAATGACGACGTTACCCATGTCCATGATGTACACTGAAGACTTTACCCATGTCCGTGTTATACAATGACGATTTTACCCATGTCCATGTTGTACAATGACGACTTTACCCATACCCATGTTGTACAATGACGACTTTACCCATGCCCATGTTGTACAATGACGAATTTACCCATGCCCATGTTTTACAATGACCACTTTACCCATGTCCATGTTGTACACTGACGACTTTACCCATGTCCATGTTGTACATTGACGGCTTTACCCATGTCCATGTAAAATGACGACTTTACCCACGTCTATGTACACTTAAAATAACAACTTTACCCATATCCATTTACAATTACGGTTTTACCCACGTCCATGCATAATAATACATGGTCATGGATCAAGACTAAATTAATACCGGGCAATTACGTCATTACTATGCTATAATTCTTTATACGTATATTTAAGATGATTAATTCTCTAATTGCACAGCCCACCCAAATTCATTTTCTGTTAAATATATATATATATATTTTTTTTACTTATTCTGATAAAATGGAGGTAACAACGAAAAGGAAGTGTTACTGCGTATAGTATAATAACTTCGAAAAACCAAATGCGACTTGGATTTCCACCCCTCATTGAAAAAAGTTGAAATGTTTGATATCGACTCATTTTAATACATTGATTCATAAAAGTCGTTGACCATAGCCATAGTGTATTCGTAGTATGGTGTTATAATTTTCTTTAACATGGTGGCTAAATCTTAACTCAGATTAAAAGTAAAAGCTCACTTACCCCTTTTCCGTTTGAATATGTTTAGAACAAAATCTTGAAAACATCTACTATATATAATCCCAGTTAGAAAAAGTAATTGTTTTGAACTCCAACAGCCAACGCCAAGTCAAATAAATACAGCACACTTATTTTAGGTTTTCATTGCCATTCTGATACATTTTTTTATTATATATATATATATATATTTATTTTTTTAATAGAAGAAGCAACACACTGTTCCCTTGTCGTCGCACCCATGCACCCGTGACACGACGACTCCAAGTCCCGCCCACTACACACAGGGGAGTTAAGGGGAGACTACTGCTTTTGTCAGCTGTTGGAACACCGGGGGGGGGGGGGGGGGGGGGGGTAGTCTTCAACTTCAACCACTCTTTCTGTCACCGCAAACAGGTTCCCACGCTTGTACCTGCTGACTTGCTGGGTTAGATTTTTTTTTTATAACTTGTATAGGGCCTATTCTTCTTTAATTTTATTTCGAGGGTTCTCAAATAGTACACTAATTTTGACGTAAATAAACATAGGACAATTTAAATAATTTTTAAAGAGCGATTTAATGTAAGGAAAAATGATTTATTTTTTTTTTTAAATGAATAGTTTAAGTCTTAAAGAATTAAGAGGTCATCCATAAATAACATCACGCACGTTAATTAATAAAGTAGGTTAGCGGGGCGAAAAATTTGTGACGATGCACTGGATAATTTGAGGTACTGCGTTCAAGCCGCGTGAAGGAAAGAAGATATGTTTAGGCTTGAAGTGAAAAGACGGGATAATTAAACAGGCGTTTCGGCAAGATGCCTTCTTCATCAGACGATAGAAGAGAGTAAAAAAAAAAAAAAAAAAAAAAAAAAAAAACAAACAAAAAAAAAAACAAAAAAAAACAAAAAAGATGTACCGGCAAGGCTGTCTAATTTGTGTTACGAAATTGTGACGGATAGTGAAAGGTTGGGAGGTAGGGGGGGGGGTCCAAAATCCGAAAAAATAGCGTGGCGTCAATTTGGAATGGCCACTTAAGTTCCCAATAGATAAGTAGTTTAAACTGTAAGTCTTAATATATGAGCTCACTTATTATAGCGAAATGTTTACATTTTAGAGGGGTTTATATAATAGACAGGCTATGTATTTTATATGTCTGTTTTAGGCTATACATAATCCAAGCCCATTTCTTTGAGCGGCTGCTGCCAATGCAAGGGCGTAGGAAGAGGTGGGCGGAGCGGGGGGTGGCGCTTTACTCTTCCCCAGACGAGACTTAATTTGGGGTGGTATTTTCAGTAGATCATTTTTTTTTTTTGAGAACGCATTTTAATGCTAGGGCGGTAAGCAGATTGCAGTTTCTGTTTGCGACTGTAATTTGTGTTTGCTCGTTGGTGTTGTCTGTGTTCTCTCGCAAGGGATCTCGACCTCTACGTGGTGCGAGAGACTAGTAGGTCTTGAGCGCAACTGGAGCGCTCGACCAAGGCTAAAGATTCCGGCGCATGACCGAATGGGCCCCTGGGAGCCTAGCGTAGTTCCTAAGGAGGTTGAGGGCAGAGGGGAGCAAACTCCCGATTCTCTCGATCCAAATAGCTGGTGCAAAGGATCCGCTTGATTTTGGTCTGAAATCACATATTTCTCTCTCTCTCTCCCTCTCTCTCTTGAATAATGCAGCTTGGCACCATTGGCGTCCAGGGCCGTCTTAACAAGATAGGAGGCCCTGGGCACAGCAATGCAGTGGGGCCCACTAGCAACACAACATACTTCGGCCGCGAGAAGGGGGGGGGGAAGGGGGGCACTCACCCCATGCTCAAACAGTGCGGGGGGGGGGGGGGGGAAAAAAGTCCTTTCCCCCACCAAACCCCCAAGAGGAAAAAAAAAAAAATAAAAAAATAAAAAAAACATTCAATAAAGTTAACTTCGATGAATTCAGTTTATTGATACAAAAAACAAAATCATTCAAAATCATTCAAAATCAATAGAAGTTTTAAAACATTATCAGAAATAACAATGAATAATCACAGAGGATGATAAATTATCAATATTGCCAGATAGAATTGATTGATAGAATAAATTATTCCATATCAATCAACATAATCGTTTGCGTAATTTTTTTTTTTTTTTTTTGCAGAGAATTGTTTTTTTTTTGGTTTAAAAGCAATGGTCTTTCGGATGTCATTTTTCTTTGACATAAGTGAAAGCCAGTTCAAACTTTTTTGTTCCATTGTATTGCGAAAAAAAAATTAATACATATAAATAAATATAATTGTTTGCGTAATTTTTTTTTTTTTTTTTTGCAGAGAATTGTTTTATTATTGGTTTAAAAGCAATGGTCTTTCGGATGTCATTTTTCATTGACATAAGTGAAAGCCAGTTCAAACTTTTTTGTCCCATTGTACTGCGAAGCTGATTCTTATTACCATATTATTTTTTTCCCCCCATTTATATCTGGGGAAGAATAAAACTTGTTGACGAGAGTTATTCCACTTTAAATGTTTTAAAATTGCCCAACTGTGATTCGCATTTATAATATTAATTAAGAGTGGGACAATCGCGGGGCCCTGGGCAAGTGCCCACTGGGCCCATGCCTTAAGACAACATTGGTAAGGTCGCAGGAGTTGTCGGAATGTTTCATTGTACCAATGTTATCCGCCTGCGGGACTCCATCTATTGTTTAAATAGTATTGTAGAAGATAGGCAGGGCGTAACGTATATATATTTTGACCCTAAAAAGAGGAAAGCAGTTTTGAAAATGATAAAAATATGCATTTTAATATTTTTAAATTAAATGTTTGTTTACCTATCACCATGTGGCAGTAGATTCATGCCTCCATCAAAATATGTAACGAACTGTTTAAGAAAACTAAAGAAAATACCAACGATTTCAATTTAATAATAATTGTAATGTTAGTATGCGCAGGTTAAAATCTTAACTTTTTGTCAAAATGTATCGATTTGTTTATCGTTTCTATTTTGTATGGATTAAACAATGGTGGAAGTTAACAGAATGCGGCAAATTAAAAATCTGGCTAATCAACCGGATGCTGTTAACCAGGACATGACCCCATTGTAAAATTGTCAACATCAATTTTCCTGAGTATTATTAAGAACATTAAATTCGAATTATTTTTTTTTTATGGAAAACAATTTACTATTATAAGAAATGCACATTATTTAATTAACTCTGCACTATGCCCTTCCGTTCTAATGCACTATGTCTAATTATAAATCTACTAAAAAGTAGAAGTAGTAGTCTTAGTAGTCTTCAAACTTCAGTACAGTCGAGGGTCAGTAGGACTGGCTAGAGTGAGTCTGAGTAAGGACAGTCATGATTTGAGTCACACAAAGGCTCAGGGATTCATGAGTATGAATTTTAACAACGTAAACGTAGGAATTATTCAATTTTCTGCTGGAAATATTTCATTGAAACTAATTATTCATTCAATGGCATTGGACTCATTGATCACTTTTTTTACACTAATTTACAGTGTAATCTCAATCTCAGTGTCGTTGAGTTGAGTATCTGTCCTAAATCATTCATGTAGGGAGTACTGTAGTACTGTAAGTAGTCATCGCCCATACTCATGTAAGTACATTTCTTTGTATGCAGATTTTGCAGTACTATTGTTATGCAGCATATGAATTATCCTTTTTAGCGTAATGCCGGCATGTCTTACAAAACATTATAGGCATTAAAGGTCATGGAGTTTTCCCAGGTTGACTACCAGCAATTGTAAATGTCCATCTTGACAAATTTATTGAGTTGACTGTCAATGCATCACCTCATTTTTCCCCAGAAAATTATGGCACTGAAGTGTCTAGTGAAATAGTGACATGATAGAAATGAATAGCATACAGCATATGGGTAGTTCTTTTTACAACTAATCCAAAGACAGCACTTTTTGCAATGCATATCTTATTTTCCCCACTGAGGCCACTGGTTTTCATAATTTTTTTATTTTGTTGTAAGTTGAATTTTTTAAAGAGCAAAGGTAAAAGTTTATGTCAATGCATTTCATATTACTTTATCGATCAACATATTTAGTATATTACTCATAGAATGCTCAGTGAAGGATGACAAAAGTTATAAAACACATTGTTCAGGTCCAACAATAACTTCACTCAGGGGGACACAACTCTTAGCAGAACCCAAACCACTGACCCAATCTTTACCAATAAATTGTATTATGTTGTACTGTCCGTTGTTCTAAAATTAATATAATATTAACTGTCCATATTAGAAAGGGCCAGATTATGGGCTTTACACCAATCTTTCATGTTTTAATGTGTATAAATAAACACAGGCAAGAATGTCATTCAGAAAACTAGTGTGGCAAAATGCATTTATACCTCATGGTCATAATGATATAGTGTCATAAGGAAAATAGTACTGGTATATAAAAAAAATGTTAGTTTCATAGGCTCAATAAATTTATTTAAAAGTGCCTCTGTCAATAAAAATTGTGGAGATTATTGAATATTTGTCAGTAAATTTTATTTTATTTATGAAAGCAATAAATAACTGATATGTAGTTTGCTTCTTATAACATTTATCAATAATCTTATTATCAAATTACCAGCTGTTATTATTAAATCTTTTTTTTTCTTCCTGATTTTCACTGCTAAAATGTAATACTTTTAATTGCATTGGTTAACAAAATTGTAGTTTTCCGTTGTTGTCCCACCGTATAAGTATGGTTATTAAATTTAGATTAAAACGAGACACCATGCAACCGATATATGATTTTCATCTTGTCAGTATGTGTGCGAAACTCCACAAACTCCCCAGGCTCCTTTGAAAATGGTAATTCCTTTGTATGGTATACTATTGTTGTTATATGCCAAGTGATTAGAATTGTAAAGAGCACCAACACGAAGTTCATGAAGTCTGGTTCAAAAATTTTTATTATCAATTTTGTTTTTTGCATTTAGAACACATGCATTTTAAAATCAAGCAAAATAGAAAGTAAGCTAAAAATTAGCTTTCGTCGATATTTATTTATCTACCTTGCGTTTAAAAAATTATTATTTGGAGGGGCATCATCAAACCAGCATCTAGATTCTACCAGTACTGTAAGTTATCACACCATTTGATAAGCAGAGATGTATCTTGATATCAACCGTAGGATGGAGCATTGGTAAAACTGATATTTTCATGGGAGATTTTAAATAACAACCATTGTTTTATCATGTTTTAAAAATTTCATGCGTGACATGACTAGCTGTAAGTCGTAAAGGCAGCGCTGAAATTTCAAAACAAAAAAATACCACAAATGACAATCCAAATAACAAGACATATTCAAATACTTTTTTTCCCTTTTTTTTGTTTTGTTGTTGACAGATGTTTTGAATGATATCCTGTAAATAACAATAATTAGTTAATGATTTTGGGCAACAATGGTTTAGGTCATTTTTTTAAAAACTTGATGAAGAATTAAGTTATCAATGTTTTTGATTCTTGGCATCTTTATTATGTGCCATCTTAAAGCCGCATCAAGTACCATCCTAAACATCAAGAAAAAGCAAATATAGGGTGGAACTCTCAAGGAGTTTGGCCTTGTTCAGTGCGGCTCCTTCGGCTTGTGCCAGGGATTAGCCGAGGGCTGGTTATCCTCTCTCTGTTCAGTCGTGGGCTGGGGCTTTCCGCTCCAATGAATCCTTGAATGGTTGTATTCAGATTAGGTACCTCAGGCATCTGTAGAGTGAATGTATTCAGTGGTATCAACAGTGGGCATGGAAACTGTGAAAGTATCTAGGCCTAGTTTCTTTTAGCTCATTTTTTCAAACTAGAGTAATGAAATATGCAAACAGGCAGCCAGGGTAATTAAGCATGGCAGGAAAAAATAAAAATCTGACATCAGCTCCTAGTGACTTTCAGGAAAAATTTATTCCCTGATATGCTGAGTCAAATCTGTCATCTGGTAACTTGTACTTCTCACTATCCCTATCTGTTAAGCTTAACAATGGAAATAGTACCTAAAACTTTTCTAGTGCTAGTAAAACAATCTTTCTGATGTCGGGCCAGAATTGTTACAGGTTTGTATTTGAACCTGTAAAGGGACAAATCTTACTAAAAACTTGATGTATTTTTCATACACTTTGGAAAACTTATTCAAAATTAAAAACCAGACTGCGATTGAAGAAAAATTTATGCGAATTAATATTCTACAGAATCAAAAATTATCATCAAAATGGTCAAAAAATTAACCTTATTGTCTTGTTATGACTGATATAAGAATTCCCAATGTTAAAATATAAAAAATATGAATCCCAAATCACAAATAAAAAAATCAACACATGTTTATACCTGTATATTACTTCAAAGGAATGGCAACAATGGTTCTCAGCGCTATCAGTGACATAATTCTTTTGAAATGATATAATACTAATAGTACTGATACATATCTTTATCAGGTTCATCTACAAAAAGAAGATAATACTCGAGAAATCTTAATAAACTTCATCTATAATAGCACATCAGATTACTTGGGACCAAAAGAGTAGACTTGAGACCATACAACTCAGGGCTTGGGAAGAATTCAAAGAAACCTTGAGATCTGGTGTGATTTCAGTCCAGGCCCCCTCATGATGGGCGCGCTGGTCAGTCGATTGGCTAATGTCTGGAGAGTTTGGGGGTCGAACCCATCTGATCCCGTCGATGACCCATATAAACAATATGCGAACCTCGTTGTGGAGACCGTGGAGAAGGTGTGTCAACCTTTAACCCTTGCTTATTCAATATAATCCAGTAACATTTGATTGATTGATTGAATACTTTTACAGTGCGTGTGTCCATGCAATTTTAGCATGCTCACGGCACTCTGGTATCCTAAAATCTATTTTTAAGAAAAAAGTCTTTAAATGTTTCTTTTTTTTGTTTTTTTGATCATTTTCAATTTCCCTTAAAGATTGATAAGCAATCAACCAGAGATATTGCTCATACCCTGCAACCCTTGATATTACAAGAGCCCAAAATTGATGTTGAAAAAAAATCTGATTTTATTAACTTTGAATGCTGGAGGAACAAATCCCAAGAGGAACAGAGGGGCTCAAAAAGTCATGCGTTGGCTCTGCATTTGACATGAACAATATCAATGATCTTTAAAAAAAATTTAAAACATATCTAAGACAAAGATATTTTTTGGGAAGAAACACTGTTATTTTTCCTGAAATGTTCAATTTATTTTTTTGTTTTTTGCTGTACCCATCAGGGCGATTGTGAAAAGCTGAAGAGCATTCAAGAAGACGTCAATCTGAGAAAATTTGGCGGCGTGGAGAATGTTACAATTGTTCCTTCTCTCATGCAACGAGCTGCAGCCGGGGAACATTTGGATGTCATCAAGTTAGTTCGGTTGTGTTTTCAATTAAATCATCCTGCATGTTTCTTTCATGTTGGAAATGTGAACTGGTTATTTATTTTTGGTATGGCGTTTGTGTTACGACCTGTAAAACCGGTTGCATTACGTTTGTGAATGTTGGAAATAAATTGGGAGAAATTTCAAGTTGAAACAGACACGTGTTACGGCTCATTGCACTTGTGGAGCCTTTGAAATGTTTTTTCATATCTGATTTGATTGGCTGTAGATTAGGCAGTGACTCTGATCCCACATCTTTCATAGCCTTCAGTGTGAGGTTAGCCGTAACTTTGATTCCAGGTATCTGATCAGCTTGGGAGTGGATGTGGACCAGGAGGACTCCTGCAATATGACAGCTCTTCACGAAGCGTGTAAGAGGAAATCACTCCACTGTGTCCAGGAGCTGGTGAAGCGTTCTAGAAATATTGACAGGAAAGACGTGTGGGGGAGGACTCCGCTGATCAAGTGCCTGGTATACAGGAATATCCAGGCAGCTTTGGTGAGGTTTGCGTGCTCAAAACTGGATAATAAAACACCCAACAGTTTGACAGTTAACTCTACAAAAAATAATATTATACCTTTATATTAAAAATGAAATACACAAATTAAGTAAAGGATTTATAGCTAGCTTAATTAAAGTTTTCTTTGAAGCAAAAGTTTATAAAATCCTCTACTGCTTTGTTAATTTTTTACCTTAAATTTTTTAAAAATTATTTCGAGTGTAAAAGTGTAATAAAATTAATTTAAAGGGGAGAATTTTGTTAACACTCCTTCAGTTTTGAGAGCCAAGTTTCTCATAAGTTCCACGTAGACCAAAATGTCATTTACAAACATGACATACAGCTCTATGCCAGAATTTCTAGATGATTGCTTCGCTGGTACACATCACGTTATCATATTGTCATTTCCTTTCCAAGTATTTCAATTAGTTCCTTTATAGTTTGTGGGTGTTGAAAGAAAGTTTGGTGAACCATCTTACATTTGCTTTAAGTTTAAGTAAAAAATGTAGTGATAATTAGTCAGTCCTGATAGACAAGTCTTGTCTTAGTTTCTGGGTGTTTTACTGTAATCATAATCTATCTTAACAATTTTTTCATTTGTTTTCATTCTTATTTTAAAATTTCAGCTTCTGCTAGAGAGGGGAGCTAACCCCAATGCTGTTGACATCTATGGCATGACACCTGTCAGCACAGCAATCAACTACAACATGCTGGACATGCTCCGTGTGTTGGTGAGCAACAAAAAATATTGTCAGGACCTGTGTATTTTCTTGAAAAAATTTTTTTTTTTAAAGTAGATTTGGGGATAACGACCTGCACTTGAAACATAAATCTGAAACTAATCATTTGTCTTTGGCTGCATTTGTAATACAGATTTAATGGGATGCATTGTAACACAGATGTCATTGCCTACATTGTAACACAGATTATATTGTCACACTGATTTCATTGGCTGCATTGTAACACAGATTTCATTGCCTACATTGTAACACAGATTCCTTTGATCTGGCAGTTGGTTTGATTCTTAAGCCGTTGTATTAGTGCTTATGCAAAATTCGATTCACCCAATGAAATTGTTTTGTTTTAAAAAAATTGGAAATCTTATGAAGTATTATATGGTCCATGAAGGCGTGGAGGAACATCAGCACAGTAAAATTTATGTATTGTTAAATGTAATCTATGTACGGTAGTTGTGTTTTTCAAGTTTATATTGGAGGGTGCTGGACTGCACACGCTTTGACTCGGCTGTTTGAAGGGATTATGGACCCTTTACTATATTTTTACTTGTTTTGAAATCAAACTCATCATCATATACTGTTTTACAGGTGAATCACGGGGCTGACATCAACATGGTCACACAACACCTGAATAACACCTGTTTGGGGCCCCCTTTGTACCAGGCTGTCAACAACAAGAGCGTAGAACTCGTACTTGAACTTCTTCGCCTCGGGGCCACCACCCAGCCGAGGCAGGGCAGCAGCACTAACTGGCCGTCGCCCGTCAGCAGTCACTGGCAGTACTACATCAGCGGTCAGCCGAACCCGGTTCGCATCACCCTGCAGCATGAGAATGCGGTGATGATGGCCATGAACGAGATGGTCAGAAGAGGCAACCAGAGCATAGACGGTTCCAGCCAAAGCATGGAGATCCTGCATATACTTTTAGCAGCCCACGGATACTCCCTTGGGTCCACACCCGATGTCCTTATCAGAGTTCTCATCAACTCCAGCCCTGAGCACTTCTCCAAGCTACTGCACAAGCTGCAAGTGTGCTCCAGCTCCCAGGAAAACCTGCTTCAGTCAGCCGCAGACAGAGATTCCAACCAGAGACTCGTCACGCGCTCCCAGCACCTCCATCAGATGGATTACCACCTGAACGGACCCAGCGGAGGAAAGAAGGCTCCGCGGTTCATGATGTCGCTGGAAAACCAGGCTCGTCGTGTGGTCAGGCAGGCGGTGATGACCTCGGGGCACAATGTGTTCTGGGCCACCAGCAGACTTCAGTGTCCGCCTGCATTGAAAAGCTTACTGCTGCTAAAAGACATTGACCGCGCGTTCTCTCATCAAGACGTGCTGGGTAAGCCAAGGGTTGCTGTGTCCTAGCAGAGAAGTTGTCTCCAGTCTATAATGTTGGGATCTTTGGCTTTTTTTGTTTTGGAGAAAGAGCAATAATCCACTATATTATTTTTAGTTTTAACCCCCTCAGATCAGAGTTATCTGTCATGGTGTGGATAATTTGGGATTAGATCATATTATTGTACAAGTTTTCAAATGATAAAAAAATGTTCAAATCAAAAGTCAAAATTTGCACCCAATATAAATATTTGATTGGTGATGGTGTATGGTAACATTAAACATTCAATACTGGTAAATAAAAAAATTTGTATCGAGTCCATATAACATTTACTTAATAACACTTGGGGTTGTTTTGAGGTGGACAAAGCTACATCCATTGCCATTCAAAGTGAATTCATCTGACTTTATCACCCGCTGAGTGATCCCCCTCATGTATCTCCAAGATATCTCTTCACTCAGCTTATAAATAAACATTTCTGTGATTTCAATGGTGATGGCTTGTCACGTTGATTTTTTATAGCCAGATTTATGGGGATGTGTTGATTTTTGTCTTATTTTTACCTTGGTGCCATTTTTAAAAATTAAAATTATTGTTATTGTGAAATTGTACATTTAACCATCAAGGGTAGCCTCATACAAATCAAAATCATTACCCGGTAAACATAAGATGTGTGCCATATCAGTGATCAATTTTTGGATAAGAATTAAACACACTTGGAACTGCACTTAGCAGTAAAAATTGTATCTTATTTAAAGCATTTTGTATCATATCAAAATATGGTGAGCTATATAGTATTTTGAAGATCTAAAAAGGATTTTTTTTCTTGCATAAATAAAATATATAAATTTATAAAATGCTTAAATGTTAATAAATATTTTTTTTTTATTGTCAGGGATAAAGAATCATTGAGTGGAGTGTGTCCCACTTAATTTTTTACTGGCTTCCCAGTTATTTCCACAATTTGATTTTAAAGAACAGCTAAATGCTTGAAAAGGAGTCAGAATCATGACTGCCGCCCTAAGTGACTCACCTCTCGCCTATAAAACTTGCCAGTATGACAGGGGTCCAAATGTTTGTTTACCCCATAGACCCACCCTCAGGGAGGTGGAGTTTGAGACATTTAAATTTCAGCCAGAAAAAAAAAAAAAAACTCTACCAAGGGAAATAAGCCACAACCAAGGGAAATAACAAAATACAACCAAGAAAAGTAATTATTCTCACAAATACTGTCAAGTGCTTTAGTTTCCACAAATTATTCTGAAACAAGTGATTCATATCATTACCTAACACTAAGTATGGTTGGTCTTGCAACATTACAAAGTAATTTTACACTTGCTCACTGGTGTGGGGAATTTTGGATTTTAATGATTGCTTCCTTGAACTTTATGTGCCAAGTTGAAAATATATTTTTTTTTAAAATATAATAATTCCTAGTGAGGAAAGAGCTGTTCACTGCTTAAACTGTATGGAGTTATACAAATATATATTCCTTAATTAATCTTCAAACTCTGTAACACATAAATGGGCCACCTGCTGCCCACCGAAGACAAACATCCTCAAACTCTGTAACACCTAAAAGGGCCACCTGCTGCCCACCGAAGAGAAATATCCTCAAACTCTCAGCCCAATGAAGATAGGTGAGCCCACTTTTTAGTTTGCTTTAAATGGAATGTTTAACAACAGTATTTTGTTCTAAAATGATCTTTTGACTTATTAAATTTTATTTATATTATATTTAAAAAAAAAAAGATTTTGAATAAGCAAATTGTAAAAGATTTTTTTTTTTTTTGTGTTAAATTTTGGGCAATGGCTTTTCTTCCCTAGAATTTTTGCCATACCTAATTTCCCTAACGTTGGATCTAATTTCCCTTATGTTGGATCTAATTCCTCTATGTTGGACCTAATCTTGTCAATATTGGATTTATTGTCCTTGATGTTGGATCTAATATGTTTGATCTAATATCCTCTATTTGGGATGTAATGTTTTAAATGTTGTTGGATTTTGGTTTTTGCCATAAAAATGTCAGATGTATGTCGGCCTACTGAAATTGCTTAAGTAATTAATGCCTTGTGTATAGAATCCATTCCAGAATGCTTTCAATTTAAACCCCTAAAAACAGAAACTTTATGAGGACTTCAATGTGAAACTCTCTTGCCGCACAATATAATTAAAAGATATTTGAAATAACTGTTCTGCCTTCATGAGTTTGTTATGTTGTATATGTTCAATTTCAAGGCTTTTAAGGTTCAAGGCCTTACCTGATGCTTACCTGTTCAGGTGAAGGTGAAAATGGTATGAATGTTGAAAGTTTACGCTTTGCAGATTGTACGTAGATGAATTACGGCATGACACGACATTATACTATTAATAACTTACCTGATGCTTACCGGACATTACACTATTGATAGCTTAGCTGATGGCTGCCTAACATTACAATACTGATAGCTTACCTGACATTACACAATTGATAGCACACCTGATGGCTGTAGTTGTTAAAAGGATATCAACAAATCAACGTTAAAGGGTGTCCTGTTTTTGGGGGGTTTTATTTTGCAATGATGACCCAGTTCTGGAGGCCTCACCTGGTACTGCAGCAGACCTCGGACTAGTGTATCCAGCACATCACCATCCAGGCATCCCATTTCCAGATCCTGAATTTGAGCCAACAGTCTCTCGCCATGTTTCAACTGCCAGGGGTCAAGAAATTTTTTTTTATATATGTATAGATATAATTATAATATATATATATCTATACATATGTAGTTAATTTGTCTATTAACAATAATACCTATATATGACCTATCGCAAATTTGAATTAACTTTTACGCAAAATTGATCGTGTGAACTGAGCATTACTCTAGCCCTAGTTAACAGAAACAATTTTCCGAAAACTAAATGTGTAGACGAAACTTTAAAAAAAATAAAATCATATTAAAGACAGGGTTCCCGCAGCCTCATGATATTCCAGGGTGTCCTGGAAATATCCTGGAATTTGAAGAAAAGAAACGAAAATATCCTATGACAACTTAAATTATAAAATGTCTCCCAAAATGTCATGAATTACTTTGTCCCAGAGGGAGGGATAAAAAAATATATTTTTCGCGTTGGTTTCATTTTCTTCTTCTCTTCAAGTCGTCGTCTATTTTTAGCCTTTCTCTTATCAAAAGGGTTTCCCCACAAGGCTAGGGGTTTCTTGAAAAAAGAGTAATTTGTGGGTTGTGCTTTGCCTGAACCACGGTCTTATGATGTATGTTGTATGAGATGTACCTGCATGCACTAGGGCATCGGTTCTCAACCTATGCCGCCTATGGGTCGTAGCACCTTGGAATAGCCTTTCTCTTATCAAAAGGGTTTCCCCACAAGGCTAGGGGTTTCTTGAAAAAAGTGTAATTTGTGGGTTGTGCTTTGCCTGAACCACGGTCTTATGATGTATGTTGTATGAAATGTACCTGCATGCACTAGGGCATCGGTTCTCAACCTATGCCGCCTATGGGTCGTAGCACCTTGGAGGGGGGGGGGGAGTCGAACGACCCTTACACAGGGGGTCGCCTAAGACCATCGGAAAACTTATTTATGAAGTAGCAACGAAAATAATTGTGTGGTTGGGGTCACCACAACATGAGGAACTGAAGTAAAGGGTCGAGGCTTTAGGAAGGTTGAGAACCACTACACTGGGGAGATGAGAGTATGTTGAGTAAGAGTAGACTAAGGGCTATGATAAGAGCCAACGGTCAGTCAAGACGGGCTGGTCACGAAAACGGCCAGTGTCCAGCCGCCGGGTCGTCACCTGTTTGATCATGGTCCTATTCCTGATGAGCAGCCCCCGGTACAGACCGGACGACGGTGGCGGAAGTGCTGAACCAAAGAGTGCTTGCCGGTCCTGCTCTCTCCTGCTGGCTGCTGCCGTACGGGTGGTCGGTGAGAAGAGAAACGAACACACGTCATAGATTACATTGACAAGTATATTAAACTAGGGGGGGGGGGGGGGGGGGGGGGGCAGTTTTTTTTTACACCGGGTCCGGGTATTTTGAGAAAATACCCGGTGGGTCCGAGTGTTAACAAAAATAAGTTAACTTCTCATTCTCTAACTCTGTGATATATGAAGGCATTTAAACAAAAGGGCTACAGACAGTCCTACACCCTATCTGGTGGCCTTTTAAAAAAAAAAGGCCTACAGACAGTTCTATCCTCTAGCCGCCAGCCTTAAAACAATAGGCCTACAGACAGCGCTCATAGAGTCCTACACCATACCCGTGGCTTTTTACCAACCTATTCACCTGAGTTCAACCGTCACGCATGATGTTCAACCGTCACGCATGATGTTCAACCGTCACGCATGATGTTCAACCGTCACGCATGATGTTCAACCGTCACGCATGATGTTCAACCGTCACGCATGATGTTCAACCGTCACGCATGATGTTCGCTGCGTGACAGCATTCCTCCCTCTCTCTCCCCCCCCCACTCAGTACTATTACTATAAAACATGTGGAGTTTTGAAGAGGAAGCAGGACACACCAGAAGCAAATTATGTAAGAGATAAATATGAAACGGAAATAATCTGATTAGCAAGCCTGGAAAATTGTTGCAGTTATTTTCTTCATAGTAATTTTTTATACTTGATTTCTGAACAGTTCTCGAATACTAAGAATGCCCTTGTGCAAAAAATGAGTCAAAATAAAATCTGAGCCAAGTTTGAATGACATCGGAATCGAGATCACAGGGAGTGGGAACGTCTGGCAACTTGAACCCACTCTCCCCGATTCATCTTGTTCCCTATGTTTATGGAAATGTTATTTCGTGAAATCAGTGTCATCGTATATTTCCTTCATTTTTCCCTTGAAAAACTGAATTTTGGAGGTTGGCCTTGGAGGCTGGGAGTGAAAATTTGAAAGAAGGCATTTGTCATCGGAAACGAGTCCATGTGCCGAGTTTCAGCTCGTTAGCTTGATGGGTGACGGGAAGGGGGGGGGGGTTCAATTAGCCATCCGTAGATTTTCGCCAACCAGTCACTTCGCCAACCAGGCAGCCAGCCACAAACAAAAGTAAAGTTAATACAAAGGATTTTTTTTTTAAGAACCTATTCTGTCCAATGCAATGGCGTAGCGAGGGTGTTTGGCGCCCGGGGACAAGATTCGCGCCCGGGGACAAGATCTATTTTTTGCGCCCCTTTTTCTTTTTTTTCAACTCTCAAACCCATTATTTTCATCAATAAAATAATATCAAAGCATATTTTGGCGCCCCTAACTAGCTGGCGCCCGGGGACATCTGTCCCCCCTGCCCCCACCACGCTACGCCTCTGGTCCAATGTCCCATGAAAAAATTCGTTAACCTTGCTCCAAATAGAATCGCAAAAAAAAAAAAACAATTTAAAAATTGCAAAACAAAAAGATCAACGTATTTCAAATGAAACGAAATAAAAACTTTTTAAAATTATATTACAGGGATCTGCTACGTGGGCACGCCTCTGACACAAGGGTGAATTTTGTGTGGTCCCATCGTACCATCGGTTCGGGCTCTAACATCGGGAATAAAAGTTTTTGTGTTAACAAACAATTTGAAATTTAAGAAAAAACCCCAAAAAAACAAAACAGACCTGTTTGAAAATTAGAATACTGCCACAGAGCCAAGTTGAGTTAAGGGAGTTAAGTGAGGTAAAATAGGGACTTATAATTTATAGAGTATGGAACTTGGGAAGACGGACCAATCAGAGAGAAGAGAAGAAGGAGAGGAGAATAGAGGAGGAAATCATGGCGGTTGTTACAAGTATAAGTCCATGCTATTAATTGGTTGATAAGATAATGAATAGGTTATGATTGTGATAAGTATTCTCTAATGTGTGATTATAATTGCTTATTCGTGAGTGTGTATTAATAATAAATGATAGTCACTATCTTTCACTGAACTCCACAATGCATCTGTTGTTGATAGATAGATAGTTAGTCATTAGCATTGTGTGATCTGTGTGCACTGTAAGTGAAGATAGACGTGACAAATACTCTTTTTTAAGTTGTCACTCAAAGATAAATATATGTCTACTCAGAAATAGGTCAGCCCTTGGCGCCATTATGCCTACCTTTGGAGATGATTGATGCTACCGATATACCCCCCCCCCCAAATCCCCCCAACCCAAAGAAAACCTGCAAAAAATCCCCCCACCCCCACAACACCCCCCCCCCCCCGGCCCCCTTTTCCCGGATACCAAATAGTTTGAAAGATACAACGAATCCAGTCTTTTAATGAGAACTAAATATCTGTGGTATTTCTTCAATCTTTTTTTTTTTTTAATACGAATGAAGCAATCAGTGTCCTTGCGCGACTTTGCTGGAATTAACGTAATTCTAAGCATTAAGTCTCCATGGCGATCCATTCATAGGAAACCAAAACAAAACAAAAAAAGAAGACATTAAAATTAATACTGGAAAACACCACAAAAGAAAGGCTCACTCACTTTGTTTCCGGTTGTCGTAGTACTCAGGGTTGCTCAGCTCGTAGTTGATGCCGGTCAGCTTGATGAGCCCCTTCTTGGGGAGGCTGACGGTGTGGAGGCTGACCGGCTCTTTCCGAAGCCGGTAGTCGTTTGACTTGTGAGTTGTGGCCACCATTGCAAAAATTTGGTTTCTCTGAGGGAAGCGTGGGCATTAAGAAAGTAAATTCAATTGGCCTGTGATGTACAGAACATGTTCGGCCATAATATGACTCTATTTTCTTGCCCCAGCCCCCTTAATTAAGTCCAGATGAAAGTCAGATGCTAGACTTAACAAATGTAAACTAAAGAGATCGCAGGTTTCCCAATGATCTCAATCATTTAAATTTTTTGGTCTCAGCTAGTTGACACTATAGCTCTCAACCATTTTAATCTGTTGGCCTGAAGCACTTGACTATAGTGGTCTCAACCAGTGGACAACGTTTGTCACAACCAGAGGACTCTTTTGGTCTCAAGCTTTGGACCACATTGGTCTCAACCAGCTGACTATATTGGTCTCAACCAGTGGACTCTATTGGTCTCAACCAGCTGACTCTATAGGTCTCAACCAGTGAACTCTATTGGTCTAAACCAGTTGACTCTATTGGTCGCAACCAATTGACCACATTGGTCTCAACCCTTGGACCACATTGGTCTCAAACAGTGGACTCTATTTGGTCTCAACCTTTGGACCGCAATGGTCTTAACCAGTGGACTCTATTTGGTCTCAACCTTTGGACCGCAATGGTCTTAACCAGTGGACTCTATTTGGTCTCAACCTTTGGACCGCAATGGTCTTAACCAGTGGACTCCTTTTATCTCGTACCTGGTGCTTTCCTTTTTCGCCGTGGATCAGCTGCAGAGGTTCATAAAATGCCCTGACGTCCGAGCTTGGCTTTTTGAAGGCAAGGTCAATGGCTGAAGCTAAAGTTGGCGGTTTGTCTTGTTGCTGCTGTTTGTCCTGAAGTGAAACATCATGATGTCAATTATTAATTCAGAGTTGAAGAGTTGTTCTATAGAATAAGTGAGATTATCAATACTAAATGGAACATATCAGTCAAACAAAACATTGTGTAGCCATGGGTAAATTATGTCAAAACATTGTCTAGCCATGGCTTTTAGCATGCCAAAACATTGTCTAGCCATGGCTTACAGTATGTCAAAACATTGTCTAGCCATGGCTTATAGTATATCAAAACATTGTCTAGCAATGGCTTTTAGTATGTCAAAATATTATCTAGCCATGGCTTATAGTATGCCCAAACATTGTGCAGCCATGGCTTTTATTATGTCAAAACATTGTCTAGCCATGGCTTATAGTATGTCAAAACATTGTCTAGCCATGGCTTATAGTATGCCCAAACATTGTCCAGCCATGGCTTTTATTATGTCAAAACATTGTCTAGCCATGGCTTATAGTATGTCAAAACATTGTCTAGCCATGGCTTTTAGTATGTCAAAACATTGTCTAGCCATGGCTTTTAGTATGTCAAAACATTGTCTAGCCATGGCTTTTATTACGTCAAAACATTGTCCAGCCATGGCTTTTAGTATGTCAAAACATTGTCTTGCCATGGCTTTTATTACGTCAAAACATTGTCCAGCCATGGCTTTTAGTATGTCAAAACATTGTCTAGCCATGGCTTTTAGTATGCCTAAACATTGTCTAGCCATGGCTTTTAGTATGTCAAAACATTGTCAAGCCATGGCTTTTAGTATGTCAAAACATTGTCCAGCCATGGCTTTTAGTATGTCAAAACATTATCTAGCCATGGCTTTTAGTATGTCAAAACATTGTCCAGCCATGGCTTTTAGTATGTCAAAACATTGTCTAGCCATGGCTTTTAGTATGTCAAAACATTGACTAGCCATGGCTTTTAGTATGTCAAAACATTATCTAGCCATGGCTTTTAGTATGTCAAAACATTGTCCAGCCATGGCTTTTATTATGTCAAAACATTGTCTAGCCATGGCTTTTAGTATGTCAAAACATTGTCCAGCCATGGCTTTTAGTATGCCAAAACATTGTCCAGCCATGGCTTTTAGTATGCCAAAACATTGTCCAGCCATGGCTTTTAGTATGCCAAAACATTGTCCAGCCATTGCTTTTAGTATGCCAAAACATTGTCCAGCCATGGCTTTTAGTATGCCAAAACATTGTCTAGCCATGGCTTATAGTATGCCAAAACATTATCTAGCCATGGCTTTTAGTATGCCAAAACATTGTCTAGCCATGGCTTTTAGTATGCCAAAACATTGTCCAGCCATGGCTTTTAGTATGCCAAAACATTGTCCAGCCATGGCTTTTAGTATGCCAAAACATTGTCCAGCCATTGCTTTTAGTATGCCAAAACATTGTCCAGCCATGGCTTTTAGTATGCCAAAACATTGTCTAGCCATGGCTTATAGTATGCCAAAACATTATCTAGCCATGGCTTTTAGTATGCCAAAACATTGTCTAGCCATGGCTTTTAGTATGCCAAAACATTGTCCAGCCATGGCTTTTAGTATGTCAAAACATTGTCTAGCCATGGCGTTTAGTATGTCAAAACATTGTCCAGCCAATTAGCCGCGAGTCCGGGGCCGCATGCGGCACTTTGCAGGAATAAATGTGGCGCTGCACTTTCACTTGTCTAGATCGACGTCCGGACGGCGGCCCCACAATTATTTTAACAAATACATATTATTTTTATTTTTTGAAATGTCTACCCACTGGTTGAAGTTCTACAACCAAACATTATCTAACCATCTGTTCCAATCAAAGTTATAAAGAAATCCTGTAACATAATATATTTTCTTTAAAAAAAACCAATGTGATTGAATATCGACCTCTCCTTTAATTAAAAAAAATAATAATAAAATAAAAACTTGTTGGTTATACAATTTTTAACCCCCCCAAAAAAAAAAAAGAGTCATTTTCAAAATCAAGCGATACATTTAAAGAAAAATAATTTCGTTGTTTCTTTTTTAAAAATAAATTTTGCAGCATGTTAAATGTTACATTTTCATGTTCGTAAGAGGATCTTCGCTTGTTTGATAAACATGTCATAACCACTAAGTCTTCAGGTGCATTCAACAATAGAAAAGTTTTTTTGTTTTTTTAAAATCTTGTACTTCAAATTTATTCTTGTTTGCTCCGGTGGGCCAATAGACGAAAAAAATTAATAAATAGAATCACTATCATACCATCTTGAATTATGAGGAGAAAAATAAAAGGGGGGAGGGGGGGGGGGGGGGGGGGGAGAGAAGGGGAGGGAATGGTAAATATTTTTTTTTGAGAGTACTCACATTAAGCCAATATCTAACAAACTCCACAGCGCATGCGTCACAGTGTTTGTTGTGGGTCAAGGCACTCTTGGAGAGCGTCGAGCGCGCCTTATCGGACACCGACGGCCCACCCAGTGATATCTTCGTGTTGGATCTTGATGGCTGACCGGAACGACCTTGACCCAGCGTCTGACTTGTCAAACTCCGCCCGAGCCCATCTCCCGCCAAAAGCAGGCGAATGTCTGACTTCGTCATGAATGGATTCCGAGAAGGCCGACTTCCGGTGCTTTGTGTCGACTCGAATGATCCGTTGGCAGGCGAGATCTTAGCACCGGCGAAATTGATTCTCCGGGCGTTTGATGCTTTGATAACGGGGCGTCCCTGGAAACCGCGATTTCCTTTGTAGGGAGTGATCGTTGTTTTGGAATTATTTTTGTAGTCGCCCTCGTCGTATCCACCTTTACCATGACTATGGTGGTCCTCACGTCTTTGTGAAGGAACCGAGAGAGTTTTTTCCACGGCTGCGTCGACGGCACCCCCGCTCGTTGTTGTCGGGGGCCGCGACTGAACGCCATCGCTGCGGCTGAAGCCACTGAAATGGGAACTGCTAGTCTGGCTTCTGGCGCTGGCCTGCGTGCTGGCGTTGCTTACAACAGAGGATCGTCCAGACCCTTCCATTTTGATGAGCCGCTCAAATTTCTAAACTTTCGGAGCATCTCTCAGCGAAATACACAATAAAATCAGTGTTCTTTTTCTACGCTGAATATTCTTAAACTTTTTAATGATATGAATTTAAAAAAAAAAAAAAAAATGAACTCTACATATATATATCATTCTTATCGATGAAAAGGAAAAAAAAAGTAGTATCGATTGATTCACTGGTCACTGCATTCTTCCGTGTCAATAATTGCTGAACTCAGCATGGTCAATAATTAAAACTCAATATGTTCTATCACAGGCGTGGTGGACAAAAAATCAATCTATCGTTAGTGCACCGACACAAAAACTGTCTTATGAACGACCTGGTGATGTGAAATCATTGAGCCATAAAATAAATAAAAATTGTTCGGTGGAATATTATTTGTTGTCAGCGTGGAAAAAAAAAAAAAAATCTTTATATTACAGAGGCCACCACGCAGTTAGAAATATTTATAGATTTTCATATTTTGTTCATACTGGCGGAGCTCATGGTGATGTGAACATTGTTACAGTACGCAGACATGAAGTGCATTTCGAAATGTTAGTTCTTACGGTAAAACATGAAAAAACTAATGTGGATAATATTTATTCTTTAAAAAAAAAATAACAAAAACAGTTTGCGGATACAGGAGAGTGGACACGTGATCTCCTTTTCATTGATATGAATACATTTTTAACAAAAAAAAACTTATTGTTTCCTATCGTCTCTTTACCCCCACAATTTTTCTTCTCTGATGCCATTTTCTTAAAGGCCCCACTGTCAAAGTTTCTAGATTTACACAAAAAGGGGGAAGAAGTTAAATGAATAATAAAGATGTCGCAACGGTGCACCAGTGAGAAGTGTGGTTACACATCGTGCAATGGCAATCGCCTCTGTTTGGCGAAAGGCAAAATCTTTAAGTTTTTAAAAGCGAGATGAAGGATAAACTTGGATGGCTGTTGTTGTTGTTGTTGTTCTTTAACCATCAATGTCCTTCATCTGGTGACTGTGAAAAAAGGCAAATTACAATGGTACGGCCATGTAACAAGGAAACAAGGGCTTGCCAAAGAAATATTGCAGGGCACCACAAGAGGAGGAAGAAGAAGAAGAAGAGGAAGACAAAGAAAAAGGTGGGAGTATAACATCAAAGCGTGGACAGGACTAACACTGGGCGATGCAGTGCGTAGTGCTGAAGACAGAGAGGAATGGAGGAGGATGGTTCACATGTCATCTGTGGCGCCCCAACGGTCCGAGGACTAAGGGACATGAGGATGAGGAGGATGAGGTCCCCCATCGACATTCAGCTGGAAGAAATCAGATTCCAGACAGCAGAGAAATTTATTTTATTTTTAAAGTATCCTAGAAGGATGAGGCTGACCATAGGGAAACAGTTCACTGATTTAAAATTTAAGAACAAGGTTTGCTTAGTTTGAATTCATTGACAGGACAAAAGATTATGACGTTTCTGCTAAGAGCCTTCATCAGAAAACAAGACAAAAAGAAGTATAACAAGTAAACCGATCACAGTAAGAAAGACTAAAGAGATTTCCTTTTTGTTTCCGGAAGTAGGAATACAGGAAGGGAAAGAATATAAATATCGATACTGATTTCTGTGAGCTCTCATCTGGCACAACGTAACCAACCATAGTTTATTGAATCCCCAAAATATAGCTCGAGAGAGAAACTAACCCTGACCAACTCTGAAAAACTCTGAAAAACTCTGACACACTCTGACACACTCTGACACTTCTGAAAAACTCTGACACACTCTGACACACTCTGACAAATTCTGCCAATTCTGAAAAACTGTGACATACTCCGACACACTCTTACACTTCTGAAAAACTGTGACACACTCTGACACACTCTGACACACTCTGACACACTCTGACACACTCTGAAAAACTCTGTCAAACTCTGACACACTCTGACAAATTCTGCCAATTCTGAAAAACTGTGACATACTCTGACACACTCTGACACTTCTGAAAAACTGTGACACACTCTGACACACTCTGACAAATTCTGAAAAACTGTGACATACCCTGACACACTCTGACACACTCTGACACTTCTGAAAAACTGTGACACACTCTGACACACTCTGACACACTCTGCCACTTCTGAAAAACTCTGACACACTCTGACACACTCTGACAAATTCTGAAAAACTGTGACATACCCTGACACACTCTGACACAATCTGACACACTCTGACACACTCTGACACTTCTGAAAAACTGTGACACACTCTGACACACTCTGACACATTCTGCCACTTCTGAAAAACTGTGACACACTCTGACACACTCTGATACTTCTGAAAAACTGTGACACACTCTGACACACTCTGACACACTCTGCCAATTCTGAAAAACTGTGACATAATCTGACACACTCTGACACACTCTGCCAATTCTGAAAAACTCTGACACACTCTGACACACTCCAGACACTGCCCAGCAGCTTTGTCACACACGCACACCCTAATAATAACCCACGGATGTCTTACAACAAATAGTGCCCCATGTAGCGTCACTCAAATTAATCAAACCTCGTCTAAAATCAATACGTGACCAATAATTTTATATTTCCCGATAGCTCTGGGAGATCTCCGGTGTACACGATAGCTCCATTGCGGATTCTATGATTACGAAGAAGAAAAAAAAAGTAGGGGGGGGGGGGGGGAAATGCATGGAGAAACATTTTTTTTAGGTTTAAGACCACAAAATTTTTAAAACTAATTTAGTGTACACGATAGCTCCATTGCGGATTCTATGATTACGAAGAAGAAAAAAAAAGTAGGGGGGGGGGGGTGGATATGCATGGAGAAACATTTTTTTTAGGTTTAAGACCACAAAATTCTTAAAACTAATTTTCAACAATGTTAGGACGCATTTATTCAGGGTATGTAGAGTAAATGTAGAGTAAATGTAGAGTAAATGGGGATCACCGAACCCAATAGAGGTTTATCTTAGGCTTTAGAGCTGCTTTATACCAAAAATAATACGGAAAACATCTTAATATTTATGATAATTTATTAAACTTTAGTCTATAAATTTCTCCCGTTAAAAGGGTTTGGCGTACACAAATCTATTATTGACTACTTGCTAAAGAAAAGTTCCCCGATCCCTGCTCTACACAGAGGGTTTAGGGATCATATAGAAACAGTCGAATTCTAGAAGGTTCTTGGCTAAGCTTCTTATTTGAAGCTCTTTCTATACATATCCGAAATGAATATCATTGGACCATCACGCAGTTAATATCTATATTAATAGATTTTCATGTTTTGTTCATTATAATTGTTTACATGGATTATACAATTACGATAGGGGGTTTAAAATAAAGGCGATAAAATAAATGGATAAATTCTTTTAAAAATTTCAGCGTAGGGTAAACAAGAGAAGACCAGGCAGGACACAGGCCTAAATATACGTATGGGACTGTCGCGACTAGGAGGTCTGAGACCTAAGTCTAAAACTGTGTTAACAATAAAACTCTGAAACTGTCTAGACCTGAGAAAATTGTAGCTGTCTAAGACCAGAGAAATCTGAAACTGTTAAGACCAGAGAAATCTGAAACTGTTAAGACCAGAGAAATCTGAAACTGTTAAGACCAGAGAAATCTGAAACTGTTAAGACCAGAGAAATCTGAAACTGTTAAGTCCAGAGAAATCTGAAACTGTTAAGACCAGAGAAATCTGAAACTGTTAAGACCAGACAAGTCTGAAAATGTTTAAACCAGAGAAGTCTGTCTAGACCACAGAAATTTAAATTTAAAAAGTCTAAGAGTGTTCTGCTCCCATAGCACTTGTCGTCTGACTGCTTGAACATCTTGGCCCGGCATCAGGCAGACGACATCGATTGAGTTAACAAGAGCCCGTTAGCTGGTGCCCAAATATCTGGACCAAACGTTGATCACAAATCGAAGGCAATCGATTAAGCGGGCCGAAATGACCAGTGTATTGATTTGTGGTTTCGATTGGAACAAATTGGTCCGTCTGCGTGGTGGCGCCGCTTAATGGCTGTGGTTTGATGTGGGATTGTGGGATTGATGTTGTTGGCTGGTTTTAATGGCCCGACCATCTGCTGCCCGACGGCGTGTTTGTTAGGCAATAGGGCAACACTATAAATGGGAGGGGGCAGAGTTACCGGGGGGCTTATATCGAGGGTTTGGAGTCAAGAGTAAAGGAGTGGACCTTTTTGTTTCATCCATCCCAAGTGGCGCTGCAGCCCATGTAGGGCTTTGGCCTGCCTCACTACTTCCTTCCACTCAGACCAAACTCATGCTTTTCTTTTCCATCCTTGGACTCCCAGCTGCTGTAGATATTTTTCCCCACATCATCCATCCATTTAAGCCTAGGTCTGCCTTTGAACCGTTCTCAGGTCTGCCTTTGAACCGTTCTCAGGTCTGCCTTTGAAACGTTCTCGTCTTGGGTTTTGGTGATGCACCCTCTTTACGCCTCTGTCAGTTGTCATTCTATCTACGTGTCCCGCCCAGCGAAGTCTACCCTTTTTGATATCTGATATTAGTGCGGTATCCTGATAGAGACTTAAGCCTTCTTTTTTGATGCGCTGAAATGATGCGCATTAAATGTTCAACCACTGAAATGTAATACGTTTATAACACATATCGAAATGTGAGATTTGACTGTATCACGTTTCATTGCGACACTTGTGACTTGTGCATTGCGACACTTGTGACTTGTGCATTGCGACACTTGTGACTTGTGCATTGCGACACTTGTGACTTGTGCATTGCGACACTTGTGACTTGTGCATTGCGACACTTGTGAGTTGTGCATTGCGACACTTGTGACTTGTGCATTGCGACACTTGTGACTTGTGCATTGCGACACTTGTGACTTGTGCTTTGCGACACTTGTGACTTGTGGTGTCGAGCACAGTTTTTCAGGTTCGTGGGAAACAAAAACTGCGCCCGGGACAAAGCCAAGACTTTTGACGCCGACCTGACTGAAAAGTATATATTGACACACAAAGTTTGCATGAAAATGACAATTTTGGCGCCATCTTTAAAAGTAGTCCGCATTTTGACTCTTCACGTTGTCCCTCTGATAACTGTTTCTATTAGGCGA